AAGTTTCCCAACAAGGACTCAAGAAGCATATGGCAAGGCCATGCTTTAGCTTTTGCATGCCACATCCACTCCTTCTACCATATGACTTGACTTATACAAAAACATGTTGCTCTCTACTGCCCCCAGGGGTGAGGAAGATAACAAGTCCTATAACAGGCTTGTGACTGTTCTATAATAATATGAATATCAGGGTGTGAGATTTATTTGGTAGTGATGCGAAGGAGGGTTACTGTAAGCCCCATCAGAACTGGGTTGCGATGCAGGGGGATTTAGATTTTAGACCCCTTAACCTACCCCCAAACCGTAACCTACCCATTTTATAGCGAATAAAAAAGGATACAAAATGCAATTGAATGAAATATGCTGAAAAAAAAACATTTTAATAACAATATAGCATTATATTTTCTCATATCCCATTCCTACCTCTAAACCTAAACATAACTATTTCTGTACAGTATAAGCAAAACATGACAGACAGATAAATGCAATTACAATCATTTATTACAAAAATGTCAAAAGCAGTACCAAAATTAATCCAAATGACGATGCATTGCAGCCGCAGTCACCTCTGGTGGAATACAGTACAGGTGCATCTCAATAAATTAGAATGTCGTGGAAAAGTTAATTTATTTCAGTAATTCAACTCAAATTGTGAAACTCGTGTATTAATTAAATTCAATGCACACAGACTGAAGTAGTTTAAGTCTTTGGTTCTTTTAATTGTGATGATTTTGGCTCACATTTAACAAAAACCCACCAATTCACTATCTCAACAAATTAAAATATGGTGACATGCCAATCAGCTAATCAACTCAAAACACCTGCAAATTTTGTTTACATTCTATAAAGCCCAGTGACCGTGAAGATGATGTGATCATGGGTGTGGTGATTGGGATCCTAGTGGTTGTGGACCTCTCCCAGCGTTCTACAATGACGTTGCCCTCGTGCTTGAGGAATGCAAAGTGGTAATGCATTATCTGAGTGATGTAACTAATGCTTTTCTGAACCTGATGGGCCTGGTGTACGCATTAAACCTCGACTACCCAAAGGAATTAAAATTCACATTTGAAGTGATACAGCGTCTGTTTATTGGAGTCGGGTCAGACTCTTGCACCGTAAGAGTTCACTCCTTCACGAGCAAGTGGCTGCGGTAAGACAGAAAACAAACAAACAAAAAATGTTCCCTTCTTGATACTCTTTAATCGATGGACTGGTTTAAAGTGTAAGAGCATTGTTGTTTTAAATCTCATTGTTTTAAGTGGAACATTGGTATTCTTGAAATTTTTTTGTTTTGGTGTTACCTTG